AGACATAAAGCCACAATGTTTAATTTCTATTGTGTTCCCATTCGGACTGTTATTATGAACTTAAAACAAGTTGCTGCAGTAGTTAAAATTTATTAGAGAGAGCAATATTTCTAATCTGTTATAATCTTTATCTCATACATTGATACTGAATGCAAAGCTGTAGACCGTCGTTGAACTGCATCGAACTCAGAACAATAAAACTAAAGAAAAAATTTAGTGTTCATTTATGTTAAAACTTGAATCGATCGGGCTCGAAATACAAAAACTCAAGTCCGAGTCCGAGTCTTTTAAAAAAATCTCCAGTCTGAGTCCGCCAAAAAATCTTCCAGTCCGCACTCGAGTCCGAGTCCGGACTCGGACTCGCCCATGCCTGCTTGGATCACCCGAAAATGGGTCAAGATAGGGGTAATCGGCCACGCTGAGGCGAGTGGTGATGTTTATTTTTAGTTTCGAACCGATCTAAAGTCACTATAACAAGAAATTGGGGCACACGGGAAAATCTCTCCCCCGGCCAAAACAAAAATTTTCACACAATTACTTGGATCTGATTTTAAAGAGAACACTTTTCTCTATCTTCTGCTGTAAAAAAATTAATAGGCTTGTACTTTAAATCCTTCTGTTATGCATGAGTTTTCCAAAAACCCCTTGAAAAACTGGTTTTCGGAGAATTTTCTAAACGTAATTCCTCTGGTGAAAAGATGTTCTATGGTCTCCTCTTTCCATATCTGCAAACCCCAGCTCTCTAGCTCTCACCAATCAAAAATTATTCACGAAATAGCAATGGGTCATTCTTTTTTTAAACGGACAATAGATCCGATGGAAATACATGATATTACGTAATGAAACTAGAACATATTATTGAACCACGACATGGACGATTGAAAAACTTGATCTGTTGGATTAAGCAGAAAATCTTCGTAGTTAATCAATGTTACAATTGGTTCATGAAGAACGGTGCCGATAAAACCATATTGACAGCTTGTTTGATTCAACACGAGCCTATGCAACGATCAATTGTATAAGCTAGTAATGATGCATCAGCATAATCAAAAATGATCGAAAGAGGACTTCGAGTGAGATCATTAGGTGTATAATCATAATGTACCAATTGCCGTTCATCCAATTTATAATAACGAAGATGTATAGAACGCCAGAGTTGTTTGATTGAAGTCGACATATCAATTCGTACGCTGAATCTTTGAGAAAATTGTATTCCCATATTTGATGCACTTACCCATCCATAAAAAGGCATCCAATCCTTACAAAAGATGCCTTTAGGTGGTGCCACTGCAATATGACTAATATTGACTCGATAGGAAAAGAAATTATCGATTTGTAACGATGAATTATCACTCTTACGGCGAAGAATACGTTGTATAGGTATGGAATAGTGAGATTTATCCCAAGGCATTGTATAAGTATTTTTTGTAAATGGAAAAATGATTTCAGTATCGATTGAAACGGATGTAACGAATATGACTCATATTCGACCATTAGAAGATTTTTTATTATTAACATCGAATGCTACTTATCTTGGAGAAGCGATTCTACTTAGTTTTATCATTGTCAAACAATGGATTATATCCGTTTCAATCGATACTGAAATCATTTTTTCATTTACAAAAAGTACTTATGCAATGCCTTGGGATAAATCTCACTATTCCATACCTGTGTTCATAGAGAGAAACAATAACATATGTCTCCGGGTAGGTATTTTGATGAAAACAAGTGTGGAGAAATTTTCTTGAAGATATTTTGTCTTTGTTTATTTAGAAGACAGAAAAGTACAAATCATACAGTTGTAGAATATGACAAATGCACTTATTCTTACTTTATGAATTAGATGTATTCCTTGAATGCTTCGTTTTCTATTTCATTTAAAGCATTGACAGATGGAACAGCAATTGTGTATATCGCTCTATTTATTACATGTCAAGCGAAATTTTTTTTCAGATTGGAATAAGTTTGATTCTTCAGTCTACTGGCTAAGGCTTGATATTTCAAGAACTGATTGAAAATTCAATCAAGCCTTACTCATTTCATAGTTTTGTTTGACAGTATTTCCATGGAAAACATTTTTCAGAGATTCTTTCCAGAGCCGTATGTGAATCCTCCACAAACCGGCTTTCAGGCATGAATAGTTTTGGGTTTATAGATTAGAACGGCATTACAGTTCGAGCATTTGGGATACTATCCGACGAGAAAATCGAACTGCAAAGTAGACTATTTTCAGTTTTCTATCGACTTTCGAGCTTACGTGCATCAAGCAAGAGACTTATATGGATCAATTTCATAATTCTTAGTAGAGGCATACTTGTACAATGGATAGGAGTAACATTCAATGCAATAACCAAGTCGTAAGGTTAAAAAGAATTATGCAAAACTGTTTGTCTCAGAAAAATCTACCATCGTGCGCTCATATGTTCGCATATACGTAAAACTTATTTTTGCATATGCTCTTGGTTATAGGTAGTATTCGACCTCGACTACTTATGCTGCAGATGTGAGCTCTTAATCTTTAATATCTTTCCAACACGTTCAGAGAATCCTTTATATGTTATCCTCGCATATTTCACAATAAAAATACAAGAACGAAAAAAAATGAAACTGCAGCACTTATCAAGGGGTTATAGGGTATTAGAAAAACATTAAGCTAAACCATAATTAAAGATTATATCTAAATTCCAAGCATTCCGGATACAGACTGTTAGCACTAGAAAACGTCTGGCATCCAAATGCTTGACATACAAACAGACATGCACCAGTAAGAATCAACAGGGAACAGTAAATGGGTCAGAAACTACCAGTACACTGTAAAAAAAACGTACAGTACAAAACCAAAATTTTTCGTTCCAAACCCAAAAAGGGTTTATTTAAAACATGAAAAACTAAAACGTGTTTTGTAATCACTACAAAACGCTTTGGTTTCGTACAAAACAGTATTTCTAATTTTTTGTAATAATAATTTGGTATTGTAAAATACGGTTTGAGTTGTTGAATTAGCGGGAAATACCAATTTTGTTTTTCTGTCTGCTGCCAAACCCTCTTCGATTTATCTGTTCGTCGAAAAACCGAAGCTGATTTAGTACAAACCTCTTTTTTGCACCACTAAAAAGCCCGACCGTTCTGCAGCAATACTACTAAATCATAGCGGATTTGGTTTTTCCAAAATTACGCAATCGGTTTTGTATTCAATCAAGTTGAATTTTTATAATATGCATACATCGTTTCTGGGAGCGTGAAACCCATCGGTCTTCATCTCTGTTTTGAAAGGATATAGTACGATACTAAATAGAGCTTTTCAATTGGTATGTGCATAGCAGTTCTAGTGAGTGAGAGAATATAAATTTTTTGTTTTTTCACGCATTTTGTGTAAATTAACTAATTATTATAACCGACGAGTACAAGATAGAAGAAAGTGATGCATGGGATGATACACAAACGTTTGCAAATATTTCCTCATTATCAGAAATGCCAGAGGAACAAGAAGTACTCTTTTCTCTTCTGACACATTTTCGTGTGAAAGATGTCGGTGATCTAATAATTCAGCGTGATCGTCGATGGGTGCCAATTACGCTCCAACTCATCAATGCTAAGACGACAAACTACGCTTATAATCAGATGCATTTTCTCAAACTCATCAAAGAGGAAAAAGATCCACAACATTATGCCGATATTTTAAATGTTTTAGAGAAGATCGTTAAAGATGAAGTGAGATTCAATAATATGAATTGGAAAAAATGGTGGTCGATTTTCCCAAAGCAATGGGGAACAGACGCAGCACGTGATCAGCCGCTACTTCTAACATTATATCAATGTTTTAGGGAGCATAAATATTATTCGAGAAAAGCAGTTGAAATGCACAAAGACATTCTACGTTCTGTTCCTAGTGTCGAATCAAATCGGTCATCATTTTCTTATTTATTAAAACAATTTAAGTGTTGGCAGCAGATACCTACCAAATCGATTGCCGTATACGAACAATATTTAAAACAATTTTGTACTACGAATAGAAAGGAATCCGTTTATTGTCTCTATGTTGCTGGAGAAACTTATGAGAGGATTTGTGATAAAGAGCGCGCATTAGAATGTTATGAAACAGTTCTTGCACTGGATGAGTTTAACAAGTTCCAAAAGAATGTTGAAATACAAAAGCGGAAAAAAAAATTGAAAAAGCCTTCTAAAACAGACCCAATGGTGAACGATGAACATACAGTAGTGACAGAAGATACTGACGAAGAAGTTGCAAGAACTTACCGGAATGCTGCTGACAAGCCTTCTATAGAAAGTCGTCTAAAACGACTCTTGCGACATCTTATATATCGTGAGAAGTGGTATGATGTGGCTGACTCAAAGATTATTCTTCATTTACCATGCGAAAATACTCCGGATCTGTCGGTTAATGATTATCGCTCCTATTTTTTATCTGCTGAAGAAAGACATATATCATCGAGTATTACAGCAACGGACGCAACCAACAATCTTTCTCTTTCTCTTTGGCGTTATGAAAAATATATGCATGAATGGACTTTGTTCAGAGCATTAGAGAAATTTTTACAACCATTTAGAAAGAAATCGGAATGTATTAGCAATCACATTTCTTCCTCGACTTGAGCGATTTCTAAAAAAACTTAGCGTGCTCATCACCCTATGTATTGTTTATATATGTATTGAACAAAGAAGTGGCAAGATTAACATGAACGAAGTTCAGTTTATCAACCTCACAAATACAGAAACGAGACAACTCATTTTCTTCGACCTTCGTGATGTCGACCTGCTACGTGGCCTTGAAGCGCTTGAAGAAAAAAGTTCAGCTACTGCAAAAGCCTCTATCACTATTCCAGATCATAAAAGGATGGTTCCAACGACACCCGGCGAATTTATAGCGTTTATAGCAACGCTGCAGAGAGTGTAATTTAGAACTGAGCTTATCACGATCGGTTTTGTCCTTGCTGAAGGGGCTCCTCAGGTGATTTAAGACATTTTAATTCGATTACAAACAAAGAATACGCCCATGTGCTAAAAAGCGCATAAAAATCGGCAATTAATTTTGAAAAATCATACGATTAATCGTGTGCTAAATCGCGATTAATTGCTAATTATTTGGTGATTTTTAGGCGATGTTAGGGATTAATTGCAAATAATTGACAATTTTTTTCTTGTACTTGGTTAGGTTGGAACCCATCTTAGGCAATGCATACTTTTTTCTGTTTTTTCATTGCTTATTATGTATAATGACATGTACGTCACCCAGCAATGGTCTTAGCATCAGCTGGAGTTGGAGCCTTGACGACGAGTCAATTTTAGACATTGCCCACATACCAGCTGTACACTGGGCTTCTCGGTTTAAAGCTCTGAGGGACAGAGAACACTCTTGACAACTCGGTTTTGCTCTAAATAAAACGATGATCTAAATATAAGTGTATCTTTCGTTGAAATTGTGTTTCTTATACACATACTTTACTGCAAAAGAAAACGGTGAATAACAATAACCATTTAATCTAGGCATGCACCAGTTACAGTTAACTGTAAAACTGTAAAACTGTAACTGTCATAACTGTAAAACTGTAAAACTGTAACTGTCATAACTGCAACTGAGAAAAGGGTAAAACTGTCGAAAAGAGTTTTTAGCATTTTGGTCTCGATTCGTAATATATTTGTACAAAACTATTCGTGACGTATCAGATAAGATGTCTTCCATCTTTTCACTTGGCGAATGTCTGCGTATGCCGTCCACTCTAGCAAAGGGAAGAAAAGGAAAAAAAATTGATTATCAAAATCTGAATGAATCGAATCGAAAACGTTGCTATAAAATAGATGTGGTTTTGTCGACTGAAATAATTATCTTCAAAGACGTAACTAACCTCTGCCAATTCTATAGAAAAGCTAAATATATGTCCTTTTTTTGTCTTACTCTGAAACCTATGCTAATAGTACAACGATAACTCATTCTGAACTATCTTCGGAACAATTATGATAGTTATAGTTTTACAGTTATGACAGTTACAGTTATAACCGTTACAGTTAACCGTCCAAAAACTGTAACTGGTGCATGCCTAATTTAATCACTTAAAATCAACAATTAAACGCAATTAATTGACGATACCATTTGTATAGTGTATACAAATGAATATGAGCTATAGCTGCGACAATAAAATTTGAGCATGCATACAGTAAATGTCTTGTTAAATCGATACGTCATTTTCAACTGTGTAGAAATAGACTGGCAATATTAATATGAATATATAATGTAGATGAAAAACAAAGGATATATCATGCATATGAGCACTACTTTTCGTTGATAGCATTTCATATTTGACCATAGCTGAGTTTTACGCAGTTGTCATTGCCACCAGTAAGCAAATATAATCGATTTTGTTATGATAAAAAGAATGGCCTGATGCCATGCGATTCCGTTTGTTATGGTATCAATAATATTTATACGTTTAAACACATATCGGATACATATAACATCGTTATGCTCATAGTTTATATATGTTATTGTCTGATTTAAACAATAGTCCAATAGTGTTTGATTCGAACTCAAATTTGAGACATTTTTATTTATCAATTTTAGCCAGCATACAACATTTTCACCTCGATTATAATACGTATTTAAAAATGTAGAACAATTTTCGCGTGTCAAAATTTTATATATAAATATGGTTTCTGATAAAAACACATTGAATTGAGTTAGAATATAACACAAGAACAGAATCAATTGAGAAATGATTATTGTGCTAATCATGATGAAATGCATAGAATTGAAAAAAACTGGGATGCTGTTGAACAACGAAAAGTATAGATTCAAACTCTCGGGATATAGAGCATGTGCCTCTACTGAAAGATTTGTGCTGTAAGCAATGAGAAGTGCGTGCTTATGATGCGCTCGCACTTTTATCTATTGCAATAGGTATTTGTTTCTCCCCTGCTCGTATTTTTAGGTTGTAATCAATAATATACGAAATGAACGTACAGAAGGCGAACAAAAAATAAATGAAAAACGAAAACTGTATGATTCTCTCGGAAATAAGCCGTCTGCAATACAAAAACTATCTTTTATTTAGTCTTGCATGGTATGAAAATACAAAACTTGACATGGCGCACGAAGAACATTTTTCTCATGAACAGGAAGAGAAAATACATCCAGATACTTCAAAAAAATTGGTTGATCGTTGCGCTTATTTGAACGTAAGCATGCATACTTAATAAGCATTAGCAATAGTGACTACATGGTCCATTTTGTGTCTTACTTCCTGTACACCGCTGAGTTATCGTGAAGCTTTTGAAACATATCTAATTCACTAGTAGGCCTTGTGGTCAATCTATATCACACCACAAGCCCGAAAGACCTTCACTGCCTGTAGATAGAGAATATTTTGTTTAAAAAAATTTAAGTTTTTCAAAATGATCGACTTTGTGAGCTCAATATTTCGGAGGTGGAGCGATAGAATGAAATATTCTTTTCAGCAATCGATAGCTCATGAAGTTTAATACAAAAAATGTTTTTGAAGTTCTACGCGTCGTTTAGTTTCTGCAATCAGCCTACCAATGTCCACGCCTGTGGACATTGGGGGTAAAGGGTTAACAATCTGAAACAATATCTGTGTATTCGAAGGCTAAAATGAACAGTTATGGCAACCAAACACGTTAACAATTTTCGAAAGAAAAGAACCACAGAATTTTTTGTAATCCTCATCAAGGAATGATAGATCTTATGGACGCCCTATGATGGAATGAAGGCGTTGTTATTTTTTTTTGAAACAGTCTGGCACCATATAAGAACAGCCTCAAGCTGCATTTTTATCTTCTTAATCTGTTTGCCATTCATAACGCAAGAACTTAAGCTTCTGAAGTTTGCGATTGACATCTACATGAATCGAAATCCAGCTCGAGCTATAAGTTCGATTGAGAATTCCTGAAACTCTCAACAAGGGACATATGGCAGTGATGACAGTGTGATTAACGTACTTAATTGCTTTCTACAATTCCATTTCTGTTAGCAAAGAAAACCTATCTTTAAATGGAATTAAAGCTTTTCTTACATTAAGATGTTCAGAGAAATGTCACTCATTTTTTCCGTTTTGAAATAAGCTTATTGTATGTATTTTATTTTATAGATGGGGGCGATTTTGGATCTAAATGTACGACTTAAAAAACTACAAACTCAAGACAGGGACACCAGGGACGGCGCGACCGGGGGGATAGCGGGTCATCCCCATGCTCCAAAAAATTTAAATTGGAGCTTTCTCCGAATTCGAAAATTTTGGTAGTGCCAATTTTCTCCAAACTAGCGGGATCATTAGGCGATTTTTCGACGAAATCTAGTGGGTTATAGGTTATCGATGATGCTGATTCCAAATATGAATATGAGTGCTGCCTTTAGGGCTGTTTTTCAGAGTATCTGAAAAACTGGTATTCCTCTTATTACTGATATTTCTTCGCAACGAAATCACCTGTAAACTTCAGAGTTTCGCTGAAATGTTGCAAATTTATTGTAGTTTGTTTGCTTAAAATAGAAAGTGCTCATGTCATATAGTCATTGTGCTGGGTCAGGCAGAGTGAGATGGACGACTTTCTCTGTTCAAGAATCATACAGTTCGACTGTTTAATTTTTACATAGTAGACTTTGGTTTCAATTTGACAAAACAAGCGTATTTCGTGCAGTTTTTCTCTCTCTTTTGACTCATGTGTAATGCAGAATTTTAAAGCAAAGAGCAGAGAAAATGGAAACAAAATACAAAACAGTGCTTTTTTCCTTTTTCTTGATATTTTTTTGTAATGCTTCGCGTAAAAAGTTCATATTTTCATCAGAAAAGATTTTTGGTATTTCAACTTATGCTCATTCGATTCTTCACACAAAACTATAAAGGCAGTCAAGTTTACTAACCTTGAAAACGTTTCCTCGTCAAAATATGAATTTTTACGCGAAGGATTGCAAAAAAATATCAAGAAAAAAGTAAAAACGAACTGTTTTGTATTTCGTTTCCATTTTTTCCGCTCTTTGATTTAATTTTGCAACATTTTAGTGAAACTCTGAACTTTACAGGTGATTTTGTTGCGGAGAAATATCAATCATGAGTTAATATGAGGGGTGTATAATCAATTTTGTTGACCACTGTATGTTTTTGATAATAAACAACAACGATAAGTTCTAATAGTTGTTTCGGGGATAGTATTTCTGTTGTAACATTGTTTCTACAACAATAAGAATTTCAACAAATAAGAGAAAATTTCAGTTTGAAAACTGGCACGGTTTGTACGATATCAGATGAAGATGGCTAGAAGCGAACTAACAAAGTCTATGCGTACTAGCAAAAATATTTCTGATTTTTTTGTTCAATATGGTAATCTGCTCAACATTTTAGCGGTTACCGTTAGCACGTAACGGTTTCCTTTCCCAAACAACGTTTTCCTCTCAAATCAGTCTTAAAACTACATTGCCAGGCGTAGTTTCACGTTAACGATGAATATCAACTTTAAGATGGCTGAAAATTGTTCCTCTAACATTCTCGTAAATCTTCTTTTCTAGAAAATTGCTTCCTCTACCTTCTATAAACGTGAGAAAACGGAAAATGTCGACGGGCTACATATGATGCTGGCGCTTTTCTGTC